CAACCTTATTGATTCCATCAAGGCCATCCCTCTCTGCTGATTTTAAAGCCAGTAAAAATTACAATCACAGAATTAACATCCCTTTGAAAGTTGTCCCATGAAACCTAGCTACCTTCTGCAGAATGAAGGTTGAACAGAGTAACTTTGTTTTCCATTCCAGTCTTTTCAACAGCCATAGCAGACTGTCACAGCACTGTGTTTTGGCTGGATTAGATTTATTCTAGCTGACTGTCAGGGATAAGACCAGACTGCAAAATCGGGATGCAAGATTCACGTCTAAGGATTTGGTTCAGGCTTTTAGAAGAACAAAAAAACTGTTTGCAAAACTGAAATTAGAGTTCAGACTTTTAAGCTAAACCCTCCTCAGAGTTCAAGTGCAGCTGAGACCATCCTCCTAGACAGTGTGAATAAATATTTTGCATTTGCTTTCCATCTGACACAAACTGAAAAGGCAGTCACACATTCCATGCTTTAAGAGAAGTTCTGCGGATCCCTAAAAGCACCGTTTAACACTAAGGTAGGATAATACTTGGGACTTAACATCGCACTTTACATCTTCAAAGCACTGTATGAGCATTAATCCTCACAGCATCTTTGTGAGGTAGGTAAGTGCTAACATCCCCATTTTAGAAACGGGGTGAAGGCCTGGTCCCCTGCTGTTGTAACTCGGCGTAGCACTGGCTCCCATACACTTGTGTCTTTTTACACCAGATGAGGACCTGGCCCCAGAAAATCTGAGTGACTTACCCAAGGCCACAAAAGGAGCAAGCATGGATAAAAGGCAGAAGTACCCAGGAGGGCTTCTGTGATGAGAAGTCCGCAACTTCCCATTCTCTTCCAAGAATGCAGTTATGCTGCCTCTGCTTAAAAGAGCCCCTCTCTGTATCCAGAAACAAAGCAAAGAGAAAGAGGCACCTGCCACTGAGCCTTACAGTTGCTGTTTGCTTTGATCTGCTTCTTCCAGAACAGCTCCCAGAATTATGACAATAGCAAGCTGAAAACATGCAGGTGATAGTGTCAAACTGCAGGACTGGAAAACTTTGAAGAGCCACTACAAAATTCTGCAAAGTTTGCCCTGGGAATTTTATATACTTATATAAAAACATATCAATTACCTGCGCTGATTACAACACAAAACCTTCAACAATCTACTTAAAAGACATGTTAGAGTAGTTCTTACACCAGTCAGTCTTACAGTTGCCTCAGTAGGGAAGAGTAAGAAGCCAGGTCTTAATCACAAATAGAATTTTCTTGGTAGAGTAGGAATAAAGCTGTTAAAATCCTCTGGCTTTGTTCTTCTCCACCTGCCATTTCTACACCAGCTTCACCCTGCTGCAGTCAGTGTGACTGGCACAGCCCAGAAACATTATTAGCATTTAAAACCCAGTTGCAATTAGCACTGCTTCTTCACTGGGACTTCTGTGCAGAGGATCTATCTACAGAAAGAGATACAAGGCTGAAATAATGTGCTATGTCTTTTATCTGTCCAAATAAGGAGCCAAAGGATCTCTGAGAGGGTGATAACTACAGAAAGGAAAGAGCAAAAGTAATCAGACCTTGTGTGTAACCTCAAGTGACTACAGATGGGATTGTAGAAGGGTTTGAATACAGCAGTGTGAAAGCAAGCAAGGGAGACGATACTGCTGGGGCCAGGCACGCCACTTCTGTGCCTCTGTAATGTCCCTGGGCCAAAGACTGTACTCCTGGAAAGGAGAAGAACGGATCAAACCTTGCAGTTTTACAGCGCGAGGCATCAGGAAGGCACTGCCACATTCACTCCATCCCCGCTTCTTGTTCGCTCCCTTTTGAAGTGAAGATTGCCGTCGCTGGGGTTGAGGGAACAGTTTTATCCCAAGAAAAGGTATTTAACAGGCTGTCAGCAACTGCTTAGGGTTTCTCAGGGTTTATGGAACTCAGAATTGTGTAAAATCAGTGTCCACAGCAGCTGGTCTCTTCGCAGCAGGAAGGGAGCCTCCAGGAAAATTGTCTTATTCAAGTAATGTGGATTAAAAGGAGGAATGCAGAGCAGGATAGAGATTTAGAAGATTGAGAATCTTTGCTGACAAATCTCGGAGCCAGCCAGAACTCTCCCTGACTGTATGCTGAGGGTCTGCCTCGTGTTCCTGTGAAGGCTGAAGCAGCACTGGGATGAAGCCAGCATGGCGGGTCTGGATGGGTCCCAGACAGCCTGTTCCAGGTGAGGGGATGGCAAGGGAACAACAGCCCACTTGGGCTGCTCATGTCTCTGCTGTCCCAGCTGCAGCCACCAGAAACTGCACCTCAGGTGCCAGTGGAGAGGGCAGGCTAATAACACTGAAAAGATCCTTTACTGCAAGGATCCAGCGGCTGATGGTGGAGCAGGATAAACAGAGCAAGCCCAGATGAAAAAGCATGCAGAAAAGCAACTCAGCTTCTTCAGGAAATTGAAGACTACTCATTTCTAGAGGGGAAGAAAGAAATAATAAAAATTTTAACTTTTTAAATAGGGGTTACTTTGTCACACACACATTTTCCTCAAAGCAAAGGGAAGCTCAGGGTGTGGGGTGCCCCTCTGAAGAACTGTCAGCTAAGGACTGAGTATGCTGGCCTGACCCATGACAAGGAGCTGCAAATCAGATTGAAATGTGCTGTTTGCTCACATGCTGGGAGAATGGTGGGGTTCACCCCAAATGCTTAGGTTTCTTCTTAGCTGGGTCAGTCTGTTGCAGGAGGAGATTTGCAAACAGTCCAGCTGAGTAACAGCAGGTGACATCCGCAGAGATCTACACTGCAGGGTTCACGCTGCGGCCAGGAGATAAGCAGTGCTGATGAATGAAGATGTTTTATGGCTCTGAACTCCCTTAGCAGTTTACTCCAGAGAGGCCCTGGTGAGCCAGTGAATGAATACTGACAATATTACACAACAGCATTAAAGGGAAGAGATTACACGGAGCTGTGCTATTTACAATGCTTTCCCTCTCAATAATGCAGCTGACCTTTCTGAGCTCTGTCTGAAAAGCAGCAGATGACTCCATGGGGTCAGGATGGTTAACCCAGATTTTTGTAATACTGGCTGCATTCGCACTGATGCAGAAGTCGCGGGGACGCAATGCCTGCTGCACACCCGGTCCAGGGAGGAGCTGGAGACCCACTTAGCACCTCTCAACACCAAGGGAAAAGCTAGCAGGGTGGCAGGGTTTCCTCAGCTGCCCCCTGACCCTGCTGCACTCCTCGCAAAGAGGAATTCCTGCTCTGCTGACTGTGCCAGGGACTGGGTGCCAGGCTTTCGCCTGGAATGGGTTGGGCATGCTAGGTATGGAGACCATGGTGATTTTCAGCCCACGAGGCTGGTCTGGAGGGCTGTCCTTCTTGTTCACTCTGCCCACGTGCGTGTGTGCACACATGGATTTGAGTCATACAGTCTGTTTTGATTGCTCCTGTTTGGCTGCAGGTTTGAAGAGGTGCAGGAACCCTCAGCGATCTTCCTTTGCACACCTGAGTGCACTCATGCCTTCAAACAAGTCACCAGGGGAGCATCTCAGCCCACAGGAGTGGCCTTAGGACAGACAGGAGGATAAAGCACATTCGTGATACTTTCAAACAGAAACAGCTGCCTGTTAGATACCCTAAATAAGAGGAAAAAATACAAGTGTGATCACAAATGGACTTGGATTAAAAATCAGGGCAACTTCTTCCTTTGTCTTTTTACGAGTCTGAAGTCAGAATCTTGCTTCAGTAGATGGGCAGACAAGCCAACCAAAGAATTTGGATGTGAATTAAACAGGCTTTCCCAGCCCTGATGGCTCTCGCATTCTCACTGCATTGGTGTGAGTTCAAGAAGGAAGAACCAGCCACTTCGAACACACAGGATGGTGCTTTTCAGGAAGCTCTTGCTGAAAAGGGGCTTTTCAAAAACAAGTGGAGCAAAGCTGATTGTTTACCACGAGCGGGCAAAACACAGCAACAGTCTACATCCAAAATCAGGGCCCTGACCATGAGAAATGCTCACAGGAAGATTTGAGAGAGATACTGCAAGCTGCAGTACTGTAAAGCTTAATGAGTATATGGAATATTATTTGTTAGGATACTGGGGAAGGAAGGCATAAAGGTTAGATTCCTGTCTGCCGTACTAAGGACAATTAGGATATACATTAGTAGGACACGTGCTCCAAGTCCTGCTGTACAAATCAAAATTCCTCTCATACCCATTACATCTGAGCTGTCAGTGGTGGCTGCAGACACCATCTAACTGCACACGCGTGGTGGGGGAGAAGGCACTGGCCTGGCTACCTAGATGTCCCTGAAATCCCACCAAACTCCTGGGTCTGCTACACGCAACAACGCTGGCAGACCTGGAGCTGGCATCAGCCACCATCAAAGCACACAGCACTGCATGTCAGCACACCTCTTGCTCTGCACTCTGCTTGGTGTTCTGCTTTGTTCTGGTTCTGCTGGGGGCTGCCCCACATGCTGCTGTTGACTCCAAAGCTCAGTCCTCATCTGGATATGCTGTTTTTACTCTGCCTCCAGGCTTCCTTTCAGCAGAGGCAATGGCTCCAGTTTGCGTACTGAGTTTGTAATACACAAAACAAGACAAACACTGGTTAAATTAATTTTTACCTATAACTTTAGCAGAGATCTGTGCCTGTCTGCCTGTTATTGAAAGCAAGTCTTCTAGCACAGCGCATAGCCCAACTTCCTTTCCATCACCCCTCTTCTTCCCAACATTCAGCATCAGTTTCAAGACTAACAAATAAAATGCAGTAGTACAGCACTTCCAATGAGGAAAAGTTGAATGAGTAGCTACTGCAGGGACAGTCTAAGCTTTCTTATGTGGACTCCACACTGAAGTAAGCTGTATTCAGAGAAAGCCATTGAAAAAAAAGCCCCAAAGGTAATGCTTCAAAGAAGCAAAATCAACATCACCAATGTGTAGAGAAATGGAGATCTCTCTCAGGGGTGAATGCAGCTACAGCACCTGAGATATAACCCACGTTGTTCACAGACTATTGGCACTCCACCTAGCTCCTCTTTCTGAAGTCCTCTTCGTCTCTGCTCTCTACAGCAGACAGTGCAATAAGCATTTGGGCTGCATAGTAAGTAGCCATGATGATGAAGCGCGAGTAGGGCACAGGAAAGCAGAACTTGTTAACCGCAATGGTCAGATCTGACACCATGAACAGCATCGCACCAATGCAGGCTGAGAGCTTGGTCCATGTCCAGAGGTCGTTGCACAGCTGCAGGCCGGCAACTGCTCGCCAGCCCATGAAGCCAATCAAGGCGATGTAGACAGCTACCAGGTAGGTGAACGGGCCGGAGAGGTAGGAGTACAGGAAGGCATAACAGGAACTGGAAACAAGGCCCATCAGCAAGCCGGCTTTGAGGTCCAAAGGCTTCATGCCGAAGGCTGAGGAGTAGAGTATGTGTGTGATGGCGAACATCAGCAGACCTGGAAAGAGACATCGACATAGCATGAGCTTTCATCAGCAGTTGGTAGCAGAAGAAAACGTGGCCGTATTGGGTTTTAATTACACTACAACAAGCACGGGCTCAGATGTTCTTGCAGTGTTACAGCCCTTAAGTCTGTGTGTAGGAGATCAGCCTCAGCACCAAGCTTGTTCCTTCAGAAGCCCCAGCGCATCTCCGACTGCAGCCAAGTACAACTCTGGTGTGATGCAAGCCTTCTGCCGAGAGGCCAGGTGAACCAAGCTGCTGCAGAAGGAACAAAGCGGTGGAAGGAGATTTCTCCTCCCTGCTTTGAACGGAAGGGTGGGGGCAAGACAGACCAAAGAACATCCCCTCTAACGACCCAAAGTGGTTCGCTCACAGGTCACGTGTGGAACAGGAATCAGAGCAGCGTAGGAACAAAATGTGAAGAAAGATGCCAATCCCTCCGAACCCAGACACAAAGCCTGACCGTATTTAGCCACAAACTCAAAGGCACTCAGGGAGTAAATCTGGCTTCTGCTCCACCTCTGCCCATAGCTAGGAGAAACCTAAGCTGGAAAGAAGCAGCTGGCATATTTCAGGGACTGCTCCAATGTGATCTGCCAACAATTTTATGGCTATTTGCAAGATTCAGATGAACCTTAGCTGGAATCAATCAGTGAAAACAAAATGCCAGCTTCCTTTTGAAGTGCAACACCCCTGAGAAATGCCAGATGTGGGTGTTGGAAGGTACTGCCCATATGTTATTCACTCGCCACTAATCCGTTTGACATAAAATGTCACGATGTGTTGGTACAGCTGCTGACTACTAGTTGTTGTGCCAGTTGTAGATAATGGGCCCCAAACTGAGTCCAGCTCCTCTGGTTCCCAGACCCACACACGGTGCAGCTGCAGGCGGTCCCACTTTATCCTGGCAGTATTATTAGAGTAGCTGGAAGTTCTCGTGCAGCTCTAAAGTATGAAATGGAGAAAAGGCTCTGGGAAGCCGAGTCTTCCAGCAGGATGCTTGTTTACATTTAAAACGTGATGCTGCGGTGTAGAGGGTAGTCACTAAAACTTGCTGCTGGCAGACATTTCTTCATCCTAATCCTCTTGTGTTGGAGCATCTGAAAGAAGGGGAAGTGTCTCCCTGTCTTTGGGCAGGACTAGAGCGGACATCCCCTGAAAAACCAGCCATGGTGGGATGAGAGAGGAACCTGCAGGAGGGCGAGAGCTGATGGGGATCTGGTCTGCACAGTGAGGCTAAAGAAAACCAGCAGTGGGAAGGGGAAGGAAAAGTGCAAAGGAGGGCAGTGAGAAGTTGCTGTTTCACACGGTGATTACACATCATGGGCACAGCACCGAGGAAGCCGAGGAGGGGTTTAGGACAAGAAGCTGGAAAAGTTAGAGCCCTGGGGATGGTAAGGAGGAGGAGTTTACTTTGCCCTAGCAGTGGGGAGTGTTTTTTCCCTCAGTGGCATTATATGGAGAGTTCTGGTATGGGGAACTTAAGAATGTGTTGTCTTTCATGCAGGCAGCTGGCAATGCAGAGGAGGAGGAGAGGAGGACAGGATGCGGCAGCCAAGCAGAAGCCCAGAAAGACAGGAAGAGGCTTGTGATACGTGGTGAGGCTGGTCACAAACAAGGGAGTCAGCTCCCAGGTTTGCTCATTCAACACCCACAAATCAAGCCAGGAACTGGGGAAACCTGTGACAGATGCACAGGGTGGGGGGTGCGTTTCTCTTGCATTTCTCAGCCTTTGGCTTGGCCTGCCCAACCACATCAGGCAGATCAGCCCTTCTCTCTGTCCGCTTCCTTCCCCCTCCCTGACTCTGGAGGGGGCAACCCCTCCAGCTAACAATAAGTCCTTTTTGATAGTCCTGGTCTTCTTCACCAGATGCATAAATTGTTTCTAAGTGCCTGCTATCAAAGGAGATGGATGTTAAAACTGTAAATTACCTTCTAAATGCAGTAGGACAGTAGTCAAAATAGCGAGTTATTAGTGGACTGAAACAGCAAAAATGAAAAAAAGTCAAGTGTGCCAAGAGTAGGTTCTCAGGCTCTCACTTCCCTATAAAGTAATGAACAAATGTCCTTCTATAAACTCATTGTCTCAAAAGCTATTCAAATCAGTCAAATTCCCAACCCTTTTTTCAGCCTGAAAGCCATAGAAATTGAACATAGAGTACATTTTTATCTAATATTCCCTCTTATTCCCCTGAAATTTCAAATTCCCACAAACAACAATGTCAAAAGTTTGAGTATTTTCAGTTGTCAACAACAGCAGCCTGTTGAATTTTAACTAGGAGAAAATATGTTTTGCAGGCGAGGTGAAGGATGGAATGGGGTGGTGTGCTCTACCTGCTAACAGCTGAAATGCAAATGTTAACACTTCACTGTGGGAGACGGTAGGTGGGATTAGCATGGACTGAGGCAGGCAGGAGACAGCCAGGATGAAGGCTGAGGTTTTCAAAATGCTCCAAGAGAGCTTTTCTTATCCTTAAGAAGAAAAATGTGTCCAGACCCACAAAGCAACGCTTCTTAGTTATGAAACAAGGTTTGGAAATCCAACTTATTTGCGGATTGAAACACATTAGCCAGATACTGAATTGCTGTCACTGGTTGACCTTCCTCTGATGCTGAACTGGAGAGGGGAGATATCCCAGCCACATGGGAAAGGAGAAGCTCAGCACAGCTCAAGTATAAAAATGGTCATGGTGAGAATCAGGCTTTGAATGTTTTCCAAGACGCAGCTCGAGGAGCAACTCCAGGAGGCAAAAGAGAAGCACAAGCAGTTGGGCTGAGGCGACCTGTGCTGAGCCAGGTATCCCTGTTAGGAGGAGGCCTGTTGGTGGGAATGCCAACACTCAGCACAGAGGGGCTGGCACCCCAAGAGAAGGCTGGAGCTCCTCGGCAACACGCCTAAGGTTCAGCCGGATAAATCCAATCCTCAGGGCCCAATCTAAACTCCACCAAAATCAGTAAAAGTTTTTACATGAACTTCTAATGAGATTGGGATAAGCCCTTGGGAAGCAGGATTAAAACCAGATTCAGAGCATTTGGCCTTTCATATCTGGCATTTTACACACTTCTCTCTCATAAAGAAAGAGCTTGTGGGAATCTCAGAATAAAACTAAATACTGGCCTCATGAGAGGGGGAAAAAATAAGCCTTTGACTTTGAGGGCTGACAACAGCATGAGCCAGAAAAGTTCCCTCGTCTCATCACATTTTCCAGTGGGACAGTCACAACAGCCAGTTAGTGGTGTGTGTTACGTGAGATCCCTGTGCTGGTTAAATTAACTTCAGAAACCCCACCAGTCAGTTCAGTGAAGGACTCAACTGCTGCTGATTTCTTGTGACAGTCCAAGGCCAGGAAGGGTGTTGCTGCAGGCATGTTCAACGTGGCTTCACGGGATTAATCTAAGTCATTATGTTCTAGTCCGCAAACTAGCAAAATAAACCAAGCTTGTTTTGCTCTGAGAGATGTGGATCTTTCTGAGGAGAAGACAGGTCGTTGTGGTAGGGTTTACCCTTGATTCGCCGTCATTTACATGTCTTGCAAAACAGACATGTCTTGTACAACAGGCTGCATGATTCATACTGATGAACCTGCAAGTAGCACAAGATTTCTTACGCTTTGGGTTCTAGCATCCACTTTAACACCTCCTGCAGCCTATGGGCTTGTCTATCAAAACATAAGGATCCTCTCCACCTGTTCTCTGAGGGCCTTAGCACCATATGTCCTATTTGTCATCCTTGCAGAGAAGGGCTGACGGATCTCCCTGCAGAGAGACAGGAGGTAGATACTTCCTGTAGCTTCATGGGAGCTGTCAAGTGCCATGAACATTCCCATCTCTTCCCCAGGGATTCTGCCCATGCCACCTTCCCAGCTCCAGCCAGCTGAGATGCTGGGAGCATGTGCCAGGGAACCAAACCTGCCCCAATTACCTCTCTGACCTCCAGAGAAAAATTAATCCATGGTGTGACTCCTCTAACCACGATGGATTTTAGTCAAGGGATGAGGACGTCCCACTGCCCGGGGCTCAGGCTGTACACGAACACACAAAACACGTGGCCCAGCGACTCATTACTAAATAGAGTAACTGCTGGACACTGCGGCAGCCCTTTAGTCCTGACACTGCACTCACCATGGATGAAGTAGCCCTGCTCCTGCCAGATGAGAAAGGCGTCTCCCACCGCTGAGAATATGAGTCCCGCTAGGATGCGGCTGGCACTCCGGCGTGACACTAAGAAGTTAATTCCATGAGCCAGAAGGAAAACCCACAGGCAGAAGATGGGCAGACATTTGATGAGGGCACTGAACCAGGAGGGGCTGGAAGTTGGCAGCCAGAGGACAAAATAGACACAAGTGGCTTTAAAGAAGGGCACCAGTTTGGGGCCTTCACTCTTCACCTAAAAGAAACAAACATTAAAAAAAGAGGAATTAATAGGATCATCAGAAGCATCGGTGGAATAAACTGCCTAGCAGAACTGTCTCCTTCCTTTTGAATGCTGCTCTTTCACGTATGCTGACAGTTTCTACCTCAGAAAGGCTGTTTCAACTCGACCGTGATCCTCAGCCTAGACCTTTGCAACACTCCGCTGAAAACACTTCTTGGCTGGCAGGATGGGTTTGGGTGGGAGAGCTGGAGGAAGTTTTAGATGAATTTTCTCTTTATTTGTTCTACCGAAAACATTCAGGCCAAACTTCTTTGGTCAAACTTCTCTGGTGGCCCTTGCCACCTCACTTGTGTTTAGACTAACACCTTTTATACACCCCATTTCCTGTAGCTACGAAAATACTGCACTGCCCCAGCAGCAAACAAGCCAATACAAGTGCAAATCTTCCCTTCCATTTTGGCGAATCCTCTTGCTTAGCCAGTTGCAGATCACCCCGAAGATACAACCTCTCTCACCCATTCTCTCACCTGCCCTGTAGCCTCGTGCCTGGAGCTTACTGTTGGCATCACGACATGACTTCAGAACCCATCACGTCAGCCTCCCAGGTGGGGAAGTCACTTCCTCAGCTGACTAATATCAACATCAATCACATGTTGCTTTGTTCTGGTATTACACTAATAATATACTGCCCATAGTGCAGGAAACATTTTGACTCGGAGCTCTGCTGAGTAAACGGACACAAAAATGCAGCGTGAGCACGAGGCTGCTCGTAACAAAGCCACAGCAGAGGCAGGGCGCAGAGCTGCGGGCTCCACGGGCTGGGTCTGCTCTTAACATGCACTTTGGTGAGACCATTCTGGATGGTGGTAAGATACATACTGTGTTCACCTTCCCTCCTGTGACACTTCTGCATTTTAGTGCAGGTGGGGAAAACCTCACGTGAGAACAAAGCTATGATTTTATTTTCTCCTGGAGTGCAGCTGAGAGCCAAAACGAGGAGCAAAAGAAGAGACTGATTGCCTTACGTGCTTGCCCGAGCTATGTCCTGGGGTCTTTCAGGAGGCCTGTTTCCTCCTGCAGCTGAGGGAGTGCCACCTCAGAGCTCCCCCTGCAAGCAGGGGGTCGCTCTCAATCTCATTTCTTTGGTCAAGCAGGATTGCGTTGCTTAGTATCACAACGACTTCCCACTGCTCGTGGCCAAGGGACACAGCAGCCTCATGCACTGGTGGAAGACACGGGGAAAATGTAGAGGCATCAGAGCTGTATTCACACTGCAAAGTCCATCCGAATCTGAACATCCATGTGTGACACACTGATGTTGCTTATCTCACGCAAGGAACCCATGCTCCAAAACGCTCCAAAAACACACTGGTCTTTTTTTTCAAATCCCTTGGCCCTGTTGCTGTTTCCTGCATGATGGGACACTGCCATGACACAGAACCAGCATCCGTCTTCCTTCCATGCACCGTGTATTGGTGCAGACGCCTAGAATGACTGACGACTGCACAGCAAGAATCTCCATGCTCACAGTGCTCAGTTAATAAAACCTAAGCTCATCAAACTTCAGGAGCTTCTACAGACACAAGCAAAGGGAGTCAGGTGAAGCTGGAAGACAGGGGCAGTGGAGGGCATCTTCCCATGTAGTATCTAAAAAAAGGAATGCAGTCTCTGAAGCAGCAAAACCATAAATAAAGGGCATCCCAAGAAGACGGTACTTTCAAAATTGTTCTCACATCTGATGGAAATTTCCCCAGCATATCAGCAGATTCTTAGCAATAAGGTATTAAATTATTCCTGTATACATTATTCATAGGCTATTACCAACACAATTTTTAAACACTCCATTAAACAACCAGGCTACACAATTCACTCACAAAAGGACATCAGCAAGCCGTTAACTTTCTTGTATTACATGGGGAGCCCGTCGTGAGTCCTCTACTTAGGTTGTCTAAATTAATCACCATTTACCACCCCTTGTCTACCTTCCTTGGGAGAATTCTAGCAGCAAATACCAAATGAACTTGAAATAACAGTCATAAACGTAGTCTCACAGCTCTGGGGGTGCCTGGGAACTATCAAGTATCGCAGGGGAAGAGTAGAGTCAAGCTTCCCCCGCCTTCAGCCCCAGCACCTTGCCCTTCTGAAGGGACACCACAGGCTCAGGCCATCCAAAGCCAGTGCCTGGCTCCAGCTCTGCCTCCTCCCCTTCTGACCCCATTTTATTAAAGATGTAGTTGATCATATTCATCCTCTCACAGTTGCAGGCAACAGATGACAGCGTTTCTGGCACGGTTTCCTCCTCTCCTCCCCACCATGCCGCAACAAGCCCAGATCTTCAGCACGGAAAACTAACAACCTCCAGAGCTACAAAGTGCGGAAGCATTTTCAGCATCAGGAGTGCTCCAGGTTCTCAGCTAAGGTAGGTGCTTTTGTACCTCTAAAGTCTATGCTGAAAGATACAGTTCACGTTCAGCCTTGTTTGGACCACACTACAGAGGTACTGTTAGAAACATACAGGAGAGTATTTGAGTTAATAAACACAGGAAGTTTTATTTAATACCTCATCTTAAAACACCTGCTAGGAGCAGTTACCATTAAAATCACAGCTTGCCCTCCCCTGAGTGCCTGCATGATGAGACATGTTTTAATTACACTTGTCATTTTCCCCAGGAACCTTGCCTTACTGAACAGAAGATAGGGACGCGTGCAGAAAGATTATGTTTGCTTGGTAACCTTAAAATTACCATTTCTTACTATTTGAATGTGAATTTTTCAAGCCCAGCCAGCATTATTTTAAAATAATGGTTTGTATTATTTCCATCCTAATAACAATTAAGGAATTTTTCAGGCATAAGGGGTCAGATTCCAGTCTTAGTTACTCACCCGTAACGGTGGAATTTACAGTGTTATGGAGTCCTTGTGTAAGAACAACCTCGTATATCTAGAAGGGTTACAGGCTTCTCATCATCAATACTTCATTCCTTTACACTTTTTCTGTAAGCATACTTCAAGTGAGTTATTTCCAAACGTGCCCTTGCCCGTTACTGAATGCTGCAGCTCAGTGGAGCCCCTGTGCTGGCTCCAGCCAGCATGAGTGCCCCGTGATGGTGTGCTGGTTTCAGTTGGGACAGAGTTCATTTTCCTTACAGTAGCCACTGTGGGGCTGTGTTTTGGATTTGTGCTGAGAAGCATGCTGATGACACCCTAATGTACCACTTGCTGAGGCAGAGGTACCTGCGCAGCTGAGGGCTGGGCAGTACCTCCTGCTGGAATGGTGTGGCACTGGAAATACTTGGGAGAGGTCTCCCAAGAAAAACTAAGGCAACCAAAGGGATTTCCCTCTGTTTGGACATGTGGCTCAGGCTTGGGAAGAGGTGATGGGGCAATTTGCCACCTGGAGGACAAGTCAAGGCTGGTATTGGGAAACCGTGTACCAACACACGTGGAGGCTGCGGCTTGAGGAAAGCCAGGCACACAATCCATGACTGGACTTGTCCGTACCTCAGGGAAAGGAACATTATCTCTTCGCTGCATGAAGAAATTGCATCAAACCACCCATCTCCCTTGCACCAGTGCCTCAGAGACAGCACGTGAGACAGGGCTGTGCCGTGGTATTGGAAAAGGAAGCACTCGATGCAGGTGATGAGGTCCTTTTAGCTAATGTATATGGTTTTCGTGGCTTTATGCTGGGTCCTCATCAAGAGATTTTGAGCCAGGTGATCTCCAGAGAACCCTTCCAACATCAACCATTCTGCGATTCTATGATCTTCAAGCAGAACCCAGTATGGACACATGCAGCTCTCTGGAGGATCAGGGCTTGGCTATCCACCTTCCTGCTAGGGATTCAAAGGTTTACAGCATCCTTTCTTGTTTCTCTTCTGCTCCAGTCTGAAATATTGCTTATTTCCTTTTTGCTGTTGTTCAGCAGTGACAGATGATGCCATCACACAACTATTCCAACCATGCTGTGATTTGGTATGGGTGTAAGACATGAAAGGTTAGGCTAGCCCATGAAGAAACACAGTTACAGAAGAAGTAACTCTGGGTAATAAAGACTGACAAACGTTCCCAACGTGCAAAATACATACAAGGTGTAGTTCAAAGATGACCAAAAGCTTCATACAGCAGCTCCGAAGCTGTATCTGCAAATTAGTAGGGGTGACTCATGAAGAGCCATGGGGTCCCTGCTGGGTGATCTCTTCTTGCACCTCCCTGCTATGCAGCACTGGCAGATGCTCACGATTCACATCTGCACAAACCAGTATTGATTACAGGGTACAACCTGAGGAACATCTGTGCTGCTCCTCAGCATCACAGACAGCCTGTGCTGACTGCTGCAGGCACATAATCAAGCCAAAAACTTTACAGCTAGCTCCTCTACCCCAGAACAAGCTGCATCCGCAGGGGCACAGCTACCTCTGCTTGTAAGCCAGTGCACTGATTTTCGTGAACATTTTGGAGTCAGTTGTCTGTAACTGTATCACAGTTGGCATGAAGAAAATGTAGCTGTCGCAGGGAGGGAGATGTCTTGCACCCAAGGTATAGAAGAACGTCAGAAGCTTGTTGCTTTGAATTGCTAACGTTGGACAAAGTTCATTGTCCCTAAGCCTGGTACTGGTTCCAGGAAATAACACAGAGTATCAAATATTGCTCTTCTCTCCACAAGTCCTCTAAATAGGCCTGCACAGAAAATGAGTATATAGCCTCTTCCAGGCTCCAGCTGTGTGCCAGCCTGCTGTGGGGATATGGCTTATACCCACTGGGCTGTAAAATTCTGCTTTCCAAAGCGTTTTTAAAATAATGCCCCAGCTCTTCCACTGCACAGCACTTGAGCATGACTGTGCACACAGGCCAAAGAAAGTTGGGCTGTTCTCTTCTACTCATCCCTCCCAGCAGTCTTGGCTGACCGAGTACCACTTTGTGTATCCATGGCTAAGCTGTTTCTCCTGGCTTTTGGCATCCTGCATCACGGATCCTGCCTTGGTTCTGCCCTATCGTGACAACTGTGCACCGATAAGTATTTATGTGGCTTTGTTGCCACATATTATGCTGCCACTGCAAACCCATGGCTCGTGTTTCTTATTCCCTGGAATATGTGGCTCTTTGCAAGGCACAGACAATCCTCTGTGCAGTCAGAGTCGCAGAAAGAATGCTGCTTCAGCCTAGGGGTGGACCACCATCAGGACAACGTATATATATGTGCAACAGGCTCTCACCTACAGAGAAATGGGGAACCAACACAATTCTCCATCAGGCTGACCCTACAGAAAACTCATCTTTGTGCTTAACCAAAACAGGTAGGCCTTAAGGAGAACCCATGTGTGCACGGATCCTAGCCAAAGGCAGACGATTTTCCCCAGATTTCAACGACCCATCATGTTTTGCTTCACCAAGGAGGAGTGCAGCAGTGCTCCAGACTTCCTGGCCACAAACCCGCAGGAGCTGACTGCAAAGCCACCATCCTTCAGAGCTTGTTTGCACATTCCCACCTTCGCTCAGACGGTGCAACATCAAGCCTTCTCAATGTGTGCACCCTGAAACTGATATGAAAGAGGAAATTTTTAGGCAGGAGCGCAGATGTGTGTACAGTAGGGAGGATTCGACTGTTCAGTACCCAAATTCACCGTGCACATTACATCTTCCCCATCCTGGGTGGACGCCTGGGCCCTCACAACAACCAGCCCCGGTGTGGGCCCTCCCCTGTCCACAGAGAAAAGGCCCCAGCAGCCACTCTGGATGCTCAGCTCTGCATCCCTCCTGGGCAGCTCAAGAGGTGAGTGAGGAGGAGACGGATGAGATGTAAAGAGGCAGCCAGCCAGCGCTTTTCACCCCACAGGGTCGGTGAAATATCAGGGCTAACTGGGACAGCCCTAACCAGTACACTGGTGAGTGTAGGTGAGTGCAAAGCGCTTCACTTCCAACTCTGCTCTCTTGGGGGAGCAGACATGCTCCTGGGGAAGAACTGATTGCCTTTTCTCAAGGAAGGCACTGGCTCCTACATGCCCCAAGTTGTTATGGAATAAAATTCTGAGGAATAGTGCCTGTTTATGGAGGGTGGTGAAGAGTTACTGAACCAGCCAATCAACCTGCCTGAAATACTGTGTTGGTGCAACATATTTGTGCAATTAGTAAGAGTGTTTATGTTTGTGCTGGAGATGCCACAGGCCAGGCATCCAAGGCAGATGGCTCCTGAACAGGCTCCACATGCTGCAGGAAATTCAGAGTGATAGATAAACCCTCCTCCCCTCAAGCAGAGACAAGATCATAGAGGCTCCATCTAAAACAGACTTACAAATTAGCTAGTAAATCACGCAGAAGATGGTAAATTATTTGTCTTTGGGAGAATGTGCGTGCTGATAATCCTCTTTCTCCATCATGCTTCTGCCACGCACTAAGTTTTGCCAGGCCTTGCAGTGTTTTATTGCAGCTACTAGCACCCCCCGGCACAACTAAGGGCCCCATTTCTCCAACAAGGGCAGTGCAGTGAAACTCTTGTTCTCATCTGTCCAGCCAGACCTGTTCACAAGTGGTCAAAAAATCATGGTTTTGTCTGACAGGAGAGCCTCCATCGTTCAGCACAAGCCAGAATAACAGGGCTCGGCTTGAATGCTTCCCCCATACAAAAGGGTCTTCCTCCCAGCTCAGCCACAGTGATAGGAGCAGTGGGTCCAAGGCAGCTATTCCACCCCCAGCGTCTCCTCAACTCCTCCTGCAAAACAGAGCTAGTTTGTTGGCTTCTCTCATCCCTCCCAAGAGTACCCAGCAGCCTGGGTACTCTCCTCCTTGCCCCACTTAAGCAAATTGAGCTCCAGCCACACTTCCCAGCTTTGCTCCACAACAGACTGACACAGAGTTGAGAGTCAGAAATACTTGACTTCTTTTTCTTAAGACCAAGCTATGGCTATTTTCCAGAAAAATACAATTAAAAATTTGGCACGGCCCCTCACAGTTCCTGGGTGGTAAGCTCAGATATATTGCTGCACAGATTCTTGGCATCAGAAAAATCGCCCTTTGGTGGAGGCACAGGGGAGCAGGCAGCGGGTGAGGATTAATCGCATTGGCATTACCAAGGGCCCCTGCGCAGGGCTGGTCTGCTCCACACAGCTGGACGCAGAAACGGGAGCTGCAACACAAAGTCTCATTTCCAAGCCAAGATCCTGGCCAACTTGAAGTCACATCAACATCCAACATAATCTCCAGATTAACCACGAGGGGGGATGAAAACCTACCAGCACCGAGGTTAACATCTTTCAGACAAGTGTCTTCACCCCAGATGCAGAAAGAGAGGAAATTTGGAGTGGCAGTTTCCCATCAGCCGCCTGGCAGCAGGGCACCAGCCTCTCCCAGGGAAAACCACCGCTCCGGTCTCTGCAGCGTGGCAGCACGGGGCTCAGCAGGGGCACTGGGCTCAGCGAGGGCACGGCGTGGCCACCCAGCTGAGCTGCAGCAGGTGAGCGTCGAAACGGGACCTTTTGTACCGAGCTGGGGAGCGCGTGAGCCTTGAGAATGCCAGCGATGCGAGACTGCAGACATGGCTGCTGCAAAGGTCTCGCTCCTCCGAGCTCTCCGAGCGTGATTTCTCCACCACACGCTGCCGTGTGTCCACAGACACTGCTTAAGAGAGAAGCTGGTGCTACTCAGTGCTTCACCTCAGCCGTGCTGTGATCTACCACCAAACCCCGCATCACCTGTGGATGGGAGTGAACCGTCCAGGATAGGTTTTAGGAGAAAACTGCACCGAACACAACGTATGAAGGATATTTAAACAAATGCCTCAGGAAGGTAAAAGAGAAGCGTTAGACAAGCCTTGTGGCCTTCTCCAGAGGACAACACAAATCGCTACAGCTGTGAATCCTTGTGCAGCAGTCAGGGAGGGAGATGAGCGGTAACAGGCAAAGGGGGCGGGCAGCCTTCCCTTCTGCCCCTTCCCAAGTTAAGGCAGGAGGAGCCAAACCACCCCTCTCACAGAAATAGCAAAGCCCATGTTAGCAAAGCTGCAAGACGAATACAACAGCAGTCCCATCTTGTCTTCAGGTGCTTAATGAAGAAATTAAAAAATGCTGGGTGCTGAGCAGTCACACTGACCATGCTCACGGGGCTGCTGACGAGGCCAGTTTGGCTCAGCAGCCAATGTCACCTGGGAGCTCTTGGACATTGCAGCTCTCTGCTGCTATACCCACAAGTTTAAAAAAAAAAACCCTCACCTGCAAACACCTGGGATGGAAAATAATGTGGGAAAAAGTCACAAATAGGAAACAGGAGTCCTGCCTGGAAAAGACTCCTTGTAGGAGGCCTTAGAAATGTAAGGTCCCATATGAAATCTTGTCCCATAACAACCTAAAGTAGGGGCAGGTGGTTCTGGAGCTAAGGAAACGATCCTCATCAGGGCAGTGCCCACACCACATGGTGCGTCAGGAGCCCACTCCTGCTTCTTGCCTTTTAAACCCTGACATTGCCCACCGCTGTCTGGAGGCACTGGACCATGGTGTTTCACAGCATCCATAAAGGTATCTCCTGTACTGAACAGAAGAAATCATGTTGCCTTGGCTAATTGCAATCAACAAGCTATGCAGCAGTGTCTCTGGGACCTTCCTCCACCATGCAGGACCAACTGCTGTCAGGCCAGGCAGAGTGAGATGCTGCTACGCCAGCTTGACTGAGTCACTGGGATATCTGCCCTTGGCTTTCTGGGACTGCAGGGAAGCCTTCAAGATGGCAAAGCCTTTCTGTAGCAGATGTTAACTCATAAAAATCAAATTACAGATAAACACATTTCACCCTGAACTGGAGACTAAGCTTGGATGTATGTGTATTTGCTAGGGCTTGTTTTGTTTGTGTGGGTTTTGCTTTTTTTCATTTCCGAGCATCATCTGTCCTGTCTACCAGACTGGCACAGGACCAGAAGCAGGGCGGTTTCAAAAACCTTCTCTTAACCTGCAGTAGTAATGATTGACTCCACATCTGTAGCAGTCCTATAGCTGTCAGCAGTTTTGGAGATTGCCTTCTGAGTATGGTCAGCAGTGTACCATTGCCAGTGACCAACAACATTAAAACAGTCAGTTCAAATGTCTCTGCAGGGCTGTAGGAGCTGTCACAGACTAATGCTTTCAGGGTAGTCCACTGGCTTTCAGAAATAAAAGCAAACAAACAGCATTTGCCTGCCAGCATCTTATCTCAGGGCAAAGATTGCTTTTCCCTCCTGGGATTCCAGATCTTCCCTTTTGTGTGGCAGAAAGCAAGCCTCTCCAGACATTTCCCTTGCTGTAACACTCACAAAAGAGCCCCTTGCAGATGTTTAAAAACCTGAACCACATGGGTCTGTCTTTTCATTTTGCTCATGGGGGCTGCAGTGCTGCCACCGCAAGGGCACGCTCCCTTCCTCCGTGAGCGAGGTCAAGCGGGGCTGCATCCCCCAGTGCTGCCTGGGACCTCAGGAGGATGCCGTGAAGCCCCAGGGAACTTGAGGAGCCAGCCAGCCAGCCAGCACCCTGAAATGCTCAGTCATTGCTGTCCCAGGGAATTCCTCTCAGGATGGGAAGGGGCAGTTACCTGGCTTGTCACACTAAAATCCAGATAAAACATTTCTACTGCTTATGGAAAAATCTCCACAATTCATCCAGGGATGGGTTTCCAGGCTACAAGCACACATTCTCAGGAGACATCATTACTTATATCACACTCTTCTGTGAAAGGGAATGCAGATTTCTGTTACACAGGAAAACGCAGCGTTAGGTTTTGTGCTGCTCTACGCGTTACCTTGGAGGGGCTGGGTAAGCCCACCGTGCTGACTGTGGGGCACAGGGCCACAGCAGAAAGCAGCACCCCCTTGCAAGGCCCATTGCTGCAGACAAGTGCCACACACTGCCATCTGCCCACAAGCTCTGTGGCAAGACGGGGGTCTCTCTGAGATGGGTGCAGACCCAAAATAAAATGCCCGGAGGAGAACTGTTGGTTCTTTCCTTGCCAGCACCAAGGGCAGGCTGAGCCTCTAGGTAATAGCAGTGAGGGGTCAGCACACAGAGTGTTTTGTCCCCAGGGCTGAAATCCACCTTTTGCCTTCACTCTCCCACCTCCAGCACTATTTGCACCCCACAACCCACCACAACATTTACGTACTTGCTGGAGGGCCCCAGCCGCCCCGTTGTTTGGCTGCAGCAGGAGGGATGCACAGAAGAATGGGCGCTCGGAGGAAATGGGCACATGGCAAAGCTCTACCCTGCCACATGCTGCTTTCCCGGTAGGGATTGGTATTTGGGAGAGGAGGCCCTTCCATCCAGAAGCAATTTCTTCCGCAGAGACCTCATTTTACCTACAATCTATGAGGAATAATGCAGGGCTAAACAAAAGCCTTGCAGGCGTCAGTGCTGTCACAGCCCCTTACAAAAAGGGCCGTTAGTGCAGCAGAGAAGGCAGGTGGCACATGCCAGGTTGTACCAGCCCTACCAGCCATTCCCAAAGATGTGCTAAGGGTGAAACCACCTCCGGCACCCAAAAGGCACTTTTGCTGCACACCTTTCTGGTTCACACACACACCTGGCAGGTAAGACTTTTGCAAAAGCAACAGGCAGGCAGAACTGAGAGAGGAGGAGAAGGCAGCTGCCAGTGGCTGGGGAAGCCGGCAGGGCAGCTCTGTGCAAGAGACTTTCGCCATACGAATCTTCACCAGGGGCTGCAGTAAGATCAGCAGACTGGCAAAAGCAAGCAGGGCTGTGCTGGGAAACCCAGGAGGGACAGCTCAGCTTGTCTTGGGCCTAATGGAAAGCTGAATGAAATGCTCTGCCTGCATTATCATGTCCTGCAGGCTGAAAGCTTGTGAAACACTGACGTTAAAGAAAATCAGAGAGGAAAAAAACAGTGTACCCCAATAAAGACGCGTATTTATAGAGATGCCACGCTGGTACCTTAGAAGTAAGCAGCAGCCCTCCTCATGGGACCAATATGCTTTAAGAGACAGGAGGAGGTAAGGTCTAAGTATGACAGTGGAGTCACAGATTTTATTTCCAGTATCTATTCTTGTGCCATGATGTTGTGACCTGGGCAAGTCAGGATCAGACACAAATTACATGAAGATGAATTGGACTTTCCAGCCAATCTCAACAGACATGGGGTGAGCAGGTGCAAACACTAACCTGCACAATTTGGTTTTGAAAGTGTAGCCTGCTGGTAGAAACAAGGCGTTTCTGTAAGCTCACAGCAAGGTGAATCAAAACAGCCACCATCCTCATTACCAGGCAGATTTGCAACACAAGAGTCAGCCTGCAACAATAAATTAACAGGGGAATGACACAGGTTGCACTTACCCAGAGGGAAACTTTGCCCTGTGTAATTCTGGGTCAGAGGGTGTGAGCCCTGGGCTCTTTGCAGGTATCCGAAATTCCTTCCCTCCCCAGCACACTTGAAATCTTCCAGGAGAACTCTCGCCCAGCCCACTACCACCTTTCAGCTCTGGTAGCATGTAATCCTCTCCTAGACAGAGTTTGCTGCTGCGTGTCACTTGGATACTTGTTCCTGTTGGGCATTACGTGGAGGGATGCTCCAGGCCCACACACTTGTCATACGGAAACCTGCCTTTAGCTTAAATGATGTTTAGATTATGGCAGTGTAAGAAATTCATATAGGAAGGGCACAGGAGAGCTAGAAAAAGCAACAGCCATCACCATTTCGGGCATGTCGCAGTAAGCAAAACCTACATCTCTATTGTAATTACAAATCTGTTGGGCATTGTGCGACAAAGGGCAGTACAAAAATGAAGTGCTAATACAATAGCCACTTAGGCCTCTGGGAGGGAAGGGAGTTACATAACGATCTTTTTGCTGTTCAGGAGTTTCCACATGCTAGCAGAAGATGGGTTCCCGTGCCATCTTTTTCTAAGAGTCTGATTTCACTGGAGTTATTGTTTCCTTAGCATTACACAGCTACCCACAGAGAAAGATAACTTTGACTCTTCTGTCTCACTCAGTGTATTTTGGATATAGATACTTGAACAGGAAGAGAGAACAGAAGAAATGCATCTCTCTCTGTTCAGAGGAATGATGTGTAAGTACAGCCCTCTGAACTGGACCCATAATCTTCATGCACAAAGCGCACTTTGAACAACAGACGCGTGTGACTTGGGTGATACAGTTGCGCTAATGAAGTCTTTGATCTACAGCACTGCCTGCAGCAGCGAGCGGCACTAACGGCTTAATGAAACCACACTGGGACTGGGAAGAGAGTGAGCACTTTCTAGCCTCCCAATTTCAGTTACCCATATCTAAACCCACCTTCTCATAGCAGCAGCTACAGCAAAGAATGTCAATGTCATAGGAAGAACGCACAAGTTCAATCTGAAAAAATAGCTTGTGGCATGTAACACTATGCCTGGGCTCTCGCTGGCATAAATCAGCACAGCTCTGCTCAGAAGGATGGAAGCTTTTAGGCTTCTCCCAAAAGGTGTGGCTAGCATAAATGTTACTAAGATCCTGCTAAGCTTACCTAGGGTGATGATTCCCTCCCTTCATTGAGTTCAGATGTTTGGAAATCTTTTCTATAATTCATTTAAATTGGCTTGGTTTTTATACAAGTGCAATATTTCCGTAATTGCCTGTGTGGTATATAAGTGTGCATGTTTACAAGCCTCCTGCGTAGTAAAATCCCAATTTATGATGTATTTAAGTAATGGGGAAAATTACGACAAAAGCAACAATGTTGGGTATAAACAGAACAAGTAAAAATAACCTCTCTACCCTAAGAGTTACTTCTGACTTAGATGGTTGCTAAGACCTTGTTCATTGATACAGAAATAATGCAACCTGTATTTAAGAAGCAAAAGCTGAGATAGTTCAAAGTGTGATCTGGCTTTCTTGTTTTCAGCAGCAATTTGAGTATTATAGAGCACGCTTTCTAATAACAAACCATTAAAACCATGCTTAGACCTACTCCTGCTACAGTCGCCCATAGCAGAGTCTCTAAGCAACGGGATTTACATCAGGTTTCCATATTCATCTGGATCAGCGTGGTTTGGCCCTTCCTCAGAAACTCAAGTGATACCCACCCAATTCTCCAGCCCTATTCAATGTTCTTCCTCATAATTACCTTTGCAGATCATAGCTTTCAGGGGGTTTGACCGGTTTTTGTAAATGACCTTCATACTCCCTCACAAAGACATCCTGTATCTACCCAGAAGGTTGACAAGGGCTGTTCCCAGGGGGGTTGCTGGCTGCTTCCCACCTAGGGGGAAAGGGGCCAAGGGCTCAGCTATCTCTGTTTAAAGTTGCAAATACATCACAGGACAAAAGGGAAGGGATGGAGACTGTTAATATGTTGCTTCTGGGCAAAAATCCGTCCCAAGCAGGGAGTTTCACCTCCTGCCTGCACATAGGGCTCTGCTAGGCCAAGTAAAAGTCAGGTATGGAGGGGATTTTCTAGGGATGAGAGCCCATAGTTCACTCGCTCAAAGACACACCAGTATCATCTATAACTGTCCCCAAAAAAGACCTATTCTCAGCCAATGATTGTATATCCTATGCCCCGTTTTCCTCAAGGTGTTATGAAGCCCCACACTGAGTTTAGCCCTAACTTTAGGGGAAAAATAAGGTCCCTTTGCGCAAGGAGCATTACATAAATGCCAGAATGACTACATTCTGGGCGGGTGTTGGGGTTGGACTAGATGATCTCCAGAGGTTCCTTCCAACCCTGACCATTCTATGATTTTTCAAGGCTCATCTCCTGCCCATTTGGAGCCCCTGCAGCCATGGTGCCTGCTGGGCAGAGAGGTCCTTAGGGCAAGGGTTCTCTCCCACAAGCTCACACTAGAAACTGCTTCTCCAACAATGAAAGAGAAACCCAGCAAATGAACAGGACATAAATCACTAACAATGCAGTCTCAGAAAGGACTTTATTAAGATGGGACCTGCGATGACTGAACAAGAAGGGAACTAAACCTCACATATCCGCAAAGCAAACGCACCATTTATCAATCCTGCTGTCCAACCGCAGGCTCTCAGCCCACATGGCTTTATGCAGTGCAAACAGCTCTTCATCAGAGCAGTAGCAAGAACAATAATTTTTAAGCAGGATGCCTCTGCTTGCCTAGCAGAGTCAGCAGCGAAAGCTTCCCTCCAAGGTGACTTCCAACCCGAGGGAGCGTTGCTCACCACCTGGAGCAGGACAGATGCATCTTCCCTGCCACAGCCCAGCACCGTCCAAGCCTAGACTCTGGCATCAGTGCACCCCAGACCTTTTTCCCTGCTGAGGACCTGGCACAATATGTTAAAAGGTACTTTGGCCCCAGATTAATTTTATTTCTGGATATTCTCCCCCCTCAGCACACCTGAATCGTGCAGCACCAGAGACAACAGCTTGGCTAGCTCTTACACAACGCCCTGGTCTCTCCTTGCTCACGGGGCAGACATGCCAGTTCCCCAGCCATGATGCACACCTGACCGCCAACACAAGCATTCCCAGCCGCAGTCAGTCCCTAGCCAACTCTCCATGGTCTGTGCCTCCTTGCATGGCTTCGTCCAGCTCTCAGCTGTACAGCAGAGCTGGAGCTCAGGGCTTCTGACTCCTGTCAGAAAGGCATCCTAAAGAAGGCAAGCGGCGGTGACACAGGAGACCAAGTTTTGTGCAAGCAGTCAGGGCCATCTGCTGCAGTTACGTACAAAGGCCATCGCTTTGAACACGGGAAGCAATATCATGTCATCCTCGGCTGTGCTCTTCTAGCGTCCTCCCCAGCGAGGCTGATGCTGCGCTGTACTGGGAGAGGACATACACGGTTGACAAATCAATTCCTCTGACTAATTTGATTGTGCCTCAGGTGCTGTCCCCACAGAGAGCGTCGCCATCGTGTGTCACAGCAGAGAGCCGTGCTGGCTCCCAACACCTGGTCTGTCTGTGCAGCAAAGGGCAGTGTGCTGCAGAGATAAGGCCTGGGCTCCAGGGCAGCACCTAGCTGTGGCCAGACCGATGGCCCACTGCTGTTGCCTTCAGCAAGCAACTTGCCGGAGGGAGCCCACCCAGCCTCTCACCCCCTGTGGCTCCAGCTGGCAGCTGTGCAGGGCCCGCACCATGCTGCACAGCGCCGTTTCAGCCTGCCCTTGGCGGAGCGCAGTACAGCCCATGCCGGAGCAGCGCAGTGCGCCCCTTCGGAGGAACCGCAGTGTGAAAATTCGCTGAAGGTGATGGTGGGCAAGGAACTGCTCCTGAACAGACTGAAGGCTTGCAGCTTTTTTTTAAATGAGCTCTTTGGAGGATCAGATGCCCTGCCATCTCTACAGCCATGGCAGACAGCTGCAGCTCTGGTCAAGGCTCCCGGTCTCATCGTCCCTCCAGCTCCCCGCAGCTTCAAACCTGCGTTAGTTGCCTTTGGTAAAGCAGAGTGTTGGTATGTCAGGGATGAAGCCAGACCAGAAACGTGCTTTGCTCATGTCAGAAAGGCAAGTGAAGAAGCAGGGGAGGTTTTTCTCATTTTCCCTCCCAAGTTACCTTCCTCAAGCATAATTTGTGGTGTAGGTAAACCCTTCCGGTCTGAACTATGTACAGCCTTCCCAACACATACTCATGCTTCAGTCATTTGCTCCCTCTCAAAGTTTAGTTGAAATATACTCTGCAAGACCACCCTGATGCACTAGCCTGAAAAGCCAGGTACTGCCTCCTGTGGATTATGAAACAAATTCTGCCAGGTTTTGAGCCATTTCAGCGTTGTCCCAGCCTAAGATTTTACTTCCAAGGTACACGTACGCAAATCACTGCAACCAACTGCATTACTTCAGGATGAATTTAGCTTCTGCTACAGAAGCACAAAGATACCAAACCTCTTTAGTTGTTTTTTGAAAAGCATTAAAAAAAAAAAGTTTGGCACTACAGTGGTATAATTTACAAGCTACTTCCCTCTGTCTCTAAAGATAAAATTCACTCCTGGGCTGCTGATGAACTTACCAGGTACATGTTAATAACAACTGGGGGAAAATTCATCTGAAGTATCAGACAATACAAGCTGCTATGCAGAACTGGCAAAGCAATTTAAAAGTTTTGAACCCTGACCTTGTGACTTAAAAACAGGGAAGAGACGGGGTTTCTGCCTGCAAGAGAGAAGGCAACGCGCTGGCCATTAACCACAGTATTTCCAAACAGGGTGACAGGGGACGTGCAGGGAACCAGGATTCCAGCAATAGGTGCTCAGCGCAGCAGCGAAGCACCAGGCAACTTTCCCACCAACAGTTCGCTGTTCCTACGGCGCGCATTGCTTCGCTGGTTACTCAGACAAATCCCTCGCTTTCTAGAAAGAGGAACACGCAAAGCAGCTTAACAGTGCAGCTTCTCCGCTGTTCTGGCACTTGGGCTCCTGTCAGCATGGAAACGGCCCCCCCACCCCTCACCTGCAGGGCCAGGCCCGGGTGTTGCTGGTGCAGCCTGGCGTGAGGCGCAGCTGAGGCACTGCCCAGCTCTGCTCCACCAGCCCAGCTGTCGCCCATCGACCGGGCAGCGCCGCTCGCCACCGTTTTGCTCGTGACGTTAATTAAGCACCGTGACTCCCTGGTGAGACGGGCAGGTGACACCAGCCCCCTCTCCCGTCGTCAGGCGGTGCGAGTGCCCCAATGGCTCCTGAGGGGCGACGAGGTG